GCTTCGGGCTACTCTTTTGGTTGGCTCAAGACCAAACCTCCCGCCTTGACGTGGTTCTTGGGGGGGCATCCAGCCTGCCGCAATGTGTTTGTGAACTGGATCTCGGCAGCGGAAGGCGAATCTCGTCATGCTGTTCTCAATCTGCTTCATTCGGCAAGGCGATGGAACACTACAATGTTGGGGTCAGTGGCGACATGGGCTGATGGTTTGGCAAGCGCGCCTCTCAACTTGCTCATGTTGCTGCGGATTGTGGGGTTGTAGTTAGGCGTCTGGTGTACTTCGCAGTGTTGGTCGATTGGCCCGAGGTTGTCGTACACCCCACTGCTCTTCTTCACCCACACGTCTGAGATTGCTCTTGTATTTCTGTCAGGGCGGAACAGGCACGTCAAGCTTAAGCCGCCCCCCCTGACAATCGCGTCTTTCACCCCGTCCCGTGCGAATTGCTCATGGTTGTTTTTGGTCGGATTGGAGATGCAAGGCCTATTTCAAACGCGGCCCGTCAGAAGGTTCTCGGCTGCAACGTCGTTATGGGTCAGCTTATTCGTATTGACAGATGGGCTCTGGGAGTTGTGTTGTATGTTCATCGCGTGTGTTTGGCAAGCTGGAGATACAGCCTCGCATGTATAGTGTTCGTGCGGATTGTGGTGGTTGCATTACCTCGCCATACCCGTTCGGTACTCAGAATAGCTGCGCGTTCGATGTGCTCAACAATGTGTCACCCTGTTCGGCATGGCGCTCTTCGCAGAGTGGGTGAACATGTCCTCGCTGGAGGTACTCTGGTCGGTATCCGCGTGTTCGGAACATCAGTGGCATGATCGTCGTGCCGGCAATCCGATCACAACGCATGGAGGCCAGGTGCGGCGCGTTGGGTTGTTTATCGCTACGTGATGGCAGAACCCATTGAATCATCATTTCTTCCTTCCCTCCTCCATACATCCCCCCCGCCCCATCTCACCCCCCCTCCTTCCCCGCTTCCTCCTTCCACCCTCCCTGCCTCCCACCTGACCCCTGTCCTACCTCCACGCCTCCCTTTTCAGCCACGGCCGCGGCGTCGAGCGCCGCGAAACCTCGGACCAGGACCCCGAGTCCATCGCACAGCCCAAGGCGGCCCCATTCGGAGACGCCTCCAGGAGAGAAACTAGAGCCCACGCATCACCTCGGCCAATGATCGGATTGCTCGCCAGCTATTCTCGGGCCGGGCGAAAGGGGGGGATAGCAAAGGGGGGGTTTGAGAATCGCTCGCGTAGCTGATTTTCCCAGCGCCTCCCGGCGCCGGAGGCGGCTATGTATCGAAGAATGGGCCCCTCCGTGAGTGAGGCCGAAACCAGCTGCATGCAGCAAATTCCGTAACCCCCCCTTTCCCAATCCTCCCCTTTCGTCCGGCCCGATATTCCACAACCGACCGAAAACTTCATGCTGGTTTCAGCTCCGAGCCGCGCGTCGTAAACGCTTTACCCCTCGAGAACTCGCCTCCGCTCGCGCACCTCCAGCGCCCCCGGTGCGAGCCCCTCCTCGGGGCTGGTCTCCACGAAGCTGGGCTCCAAATGACGTGGTGTCGACCATCGTGCTGTCAAGCAGCTGATTGCGCGTAGACGTCCTCATGCTGAAGATCATCATGCACTTGTTTTGGGCACGCCGTCGGCGGCTGCGGGATCTTGGAAATATCAAGCGCGTTACGGTCAGATGCGCGAGCGTGCCTGAACAACGAAGACAAGGGATGCGGGGAAAAATAGCATGGACAAAACCGGCCAAGACGCGCATGTCCAACAAGATTTGCAAGGTCAGACACCTCCGAGACATGACAAGGCGTGCGATCTTCGCCGGAACCGCAATGATGATAAAGACGGCACGCCGGAAAACTCGAGCATCTCGGATCCTCCGCCAGGACCTTCAAGCAGAAACGAACCAAGTCACAGGCGGCGCCACGACGCCGCGCAAGCCGACAGCAGAGCCATCACCAGATAGAGGACAAGAGACGCCACGAGAAGCAGCGGCCGCGGCGGCGACAACACATTAAAGACGTGCAGCTCCCCGATCCCCGAACTGAATCAACTCCGGCTCGAAATCGAAAGAGAAAGCCCTGGCCTGTTTAAAAGATGTTGAAATCGGCGCAGAGCGAGTCGTGACCATGAACACGAAAGATGAAGTCCGCCACCGCTGGCAAGCCCGAATCGCTACAGCACCCCGCCACCGAGGGCGCCATCGCAACTACAAGCTGCGAGTAGACGACAAAGGGCAAAGCCATAGATTGCTGCAGGGACGAAGTCGTAGAACAGGAAGCGCAAGGCAGAAGAGAGGAAGGCTGCCGCGAGTCCCCCCGCACGGGGCGGGCGGCGGGAGACGCACCGCCAATTTCAGCAGCATCGGGTCGTGTTCCGGTGGTCCACGTGTGTTTGCCCGAAACAACAAGACACACCAGAATTCATCAGGAACAACTCTCAGCGGTATTCGGTGCCCTCGCGAAGGCACTCCTGGCGAAGGTGCCCCTTGAACTCCTGGTCGTTGAGCTGCTCCTTGGCGGCGGGGGTGGTCAGTTGCAATGAGTGCAAGCGGTGCCCCGAAAGCTCTTGAATGTCATGATGGCGGATGAGCCCCCGCGAGCACGACTAGCATTGCGCGCCACGGAGTGAAGGACTGCCACATGACGAACACCTTGAAGCACTGGGGGAAGAAACCCACGAGCGAACGCGAGCTCACCACGGGCAGCGAGATTCGCCACTCTTCGACGGTGCAGCACCCAAGCAGTCACACTCCGCAAGAGGCCCAGCGGCAGACAGCGCAACCGTGAAACATGCGCAGGGCGTGCCGCAACGCGGGCGGTGCTGCGACCCAACATGTGGCCCTTGAGCCAAAACAGCTCCGCAGGAGGAGAAGGAGGCACCATGCTAAACGACGCGAGCAGAGTGCCGATCCTAAAATGAGGCCCAGGCTGCAGCGGCAGCCCCCTCTTGACACACCAGAGACAGACTAACGCATGAAGCTGTCCGAACATACGCGGATGAGGGCGGGCCACTCGCCAGCCATCTTCGGAGGAGGGAGGAGTGCAGTGCGGAAGTATTCGTACACGTCGGTCGGAAGAAGTAGGTAGAAACATGAAGTATGAAGGCGGATCTAGTAGATTGGGTCCAGGCCCCCCCAGGCAATAACAAAACGCAGCAAAAGCGTGCCGATTCCTGAAGTAGGAAGGCGCTTGAGGTAGATTGGGATCGGGGAGTCCAAAAATACCTGCTTTCGACGACCGGCGTGCAGTCGTATTCCCCAAACAGTGCTTGCACTTCTCGGCTGCACGAAGGAGTGACCCCGGGTAAGAGTGACCTTTGGTGCGCGGCTTTTCGGGGGCCGCGCGGGGACCAAACCTGGGCGCGCAAGCAGCTGCTACTGCATCGCTTTTAGCCATCTGGGGACCCATCTGTGCCCGCACCAAAGGTCACTCCGGCGAAAGGTCACTCTTGCGTCTAGTCGAACTTCTGGGTTCCTATTGGGTGTGGCTTAGTGGGGGGGTCATAAATGGGGGGGTCAGAAACGGTCCCCTTTCGTGCCCCTTTCGGGCCCCTCTGGAGCCCCAGGGGGCTCGTTTAGGTGCCGTTTGGGTACCTTTTCGGACCACCCTCGCCACCCCCCCACTTATGACCCCTCCATTACGCAACGCCCAATCCCAGCTCTCTTCCGAGGAGCCGGGCCCGGGTGCGGCGCCGGCGGCCCTCCGTCGCCGCACCAGGTGTCCCAGCAGAGGGCACGCGTGCGGCCCGGCGGCCCCGTTCCCACCCGCCGCCGCCGCCCCGTTCCACCCCCCCCTTTTCCGTCGCATTGCAATCGCGTCGCGTTGCGTCGCTTCGCTCTGCATCGCAGCGCAGGCGCACAGCATTGCATTGCAATCGCATTGCAATCGCATAGCTTCGCACTACTTTGCATTGCTTCGCATCGTGGTCTATTGCCTTGCAGTGCTGTGCACTGCATTGCTTTGCGTTGCTTCGCGTTGCCTTACGCCACATAGATTGCGCCACCTGGATTGCACCGCATCGGTTGCAAGAACACGTTGTTTGGGGTCCACGCTGGCTGACATTGAACAATTGTAGAGGAGGGGGTGGAGGAAGAGGAGGACGAGGAGGAAGAAGACCAGTGTAAACTCAAGATTCATCCACGATGTTGGAAACAGCCCTCCCCTCCAGCGAGGGTTCATTTGCACTGAGGGAACTGCCTCGTTGGAAGACGACCGATTGAAGACCTGGAAGCATGCCAAAACATTGTTCTCGGGATTCCAACGCCACGGATCAACCTGCCTATTGCGTCTTGACGATCCTGATTCGTACCAGAACGCCAATCCTAGGACTTCCACACAGCGAATCTAACTTATGTGTTGCGCCGCCATAATCCTGAATCCTTCCAGAACAACATTTCTAGTACGTTGATCCTGGGAATCCACGAAACTCTTGCAATTTCCAAAATGAATGCGCGCGGCGCTAGGGCGAGAGCCACATCTTGAAAAAGAGCCGCCCTCAACCCGTGAACTTTTTAAAGCGAATGTGCGCGGCGCTAAAGCGGAAGCCACATTTTGAAAACGGGGGCCCCTCAATTCGCGAAGCTCTTGCAACTTGTTAAAGCGAATGTGCGCGGCGTTACGGCGAGAGCTTCATTTTGAAACTGGGTGGCCCTCAATATGTGAAGCTCTCGCACATGTTTTAAATGAATGTGCGCGGTGCTAAAGCGAGAACCACATGTTGAAAACGGGTGGACCTCAACCCGCGGAACTCTTGCAATGTTTGATAACGAATGTGCGCGGCGCCAAGGCGAGAGCCACATTTAAAAAACCACCCGCCATCCATCTGAGAACCTGTTGTCAATGTTGCAGCGCCAGGGTCATAAATAATGAGGAAGTCTCAGGCCGAACGCCCGGCCCGCCCAAAAAATTGGCCTCGGGTGCGACAGGGAGAAATTATTTATAATGAGAAGGAATGGAGGAGGAGGAGGAGGACGAGGAGGAGAAGGAGAAGGAGGAGGATGAGGAGGAGGAGGTGGAGGAGGTGGAGGAGGAGGAGGAGGAGCGAGCAGCCCGTTCCAGCCCCCCGTCCGCGGGCCCAGGAGACGGCCTCACGGCCCTGGCCCTCCACCCCCAGCAGCTCCCGCACGCGCCGACCTCGCCCTCTCGAGCAGGCGCTCGAAGCGGCCCCAGTGCGCGGCAACGATGCCGCGCCAGCTCGCGTCGTCCTCCTCGTGCGCCCACTGCGGGCCGAAGGTGCCCAGGGCGAGGTCCCGCTGCGCCTCGGGAGGAGCCTGCCATCGCTCGGACGGCCATTCCCTGTGTTTTTGTTCGGTTTCGTGCGTGGTTTTTTCGCCAAATGATCAAGGATGCTCCTCGATGGTCCTCGACGAAGGAGCAATAAAATGCACACGTCCGAGCGATGCCAGGACTATCAGACATCTGCACCCATGCTGGCAGGGATCATTCCGGGCCCATGGTCGATGTGTACACCGCTCCTGGGCCCAGGATCGGCCTGGCCAGGATCGGTGTAGGGTTACAGTCGAGGCGGTGACCTAAGGAACCCTAAATAAGGAACGAGGCCCCTTTCTCCTATACGTTCAACCTCGATTTCCCATAAGTTCAACCTCGATTTCCCATAAGTTCAACCTCGACGAAGGAAAAATGCACACGTCCGAGCGATGCCAAGGGAGCCGTCGGAGGCAGGGGGTCGGTCGTGTCAGCGGCGGCCCTCGCGGGCGGCCTTCGGCTTTTTGTTGTTTGGGCCCCTCTGGAAGCCTCTTTGTCGCTGTGACTACGTCGGGCATGTCCCTCTACGGGAGGCAGAATCAAACAATTCAAGCCATAAATAATATGGAGGCTGTTCCCCTATTTTGAATATATATTTATATATATATAGACATCTATACATATATATATATATGTATCTATATATATATATAATGTGTATATGTATGTGCATGTTTTAAACTATTTTTCATTACCCGTCCAAAACCGCCTGTAGGACACTGTAGGAGGACATGCTGGCCCTAGCGCTACGGCTGGAGCCGCTCCGGAAAACTGTTCAAGATGGACCCCCGCAGCAGGGGTCTGGGGAGCGATCTTCAGCGGAGCCTGGCCGGGCGGGCAAGGCGCCGTCGGCTCTCAGCTCTGGCTCCTCTCCGGGAGAAGCGCTGCACAAGCACAGGCTCTTGCGGGGGACCGCGCGGACTTATGGGGTCGGCGCCGACCCCCCCCCCCCGTGCAGGAAAGCCCAGAATCGAATCGACAAGTCGGGTCGGCGATCGACATGGGTCGGATCGGCGGAAATCGGCGGCCGAGTCGGGAGGAGTCGAATCGGCGGATATCGGCGGGCTATTAGGCCTCCTGAACTGAGAAATCGGAGCCCGGATCGGAATCCGAAGCCGAATCGAATCGGAATCGGAAGCTATCGAAGTCACATCGAATCGGATTGGAGGAATCAAAACGAGCCCTGGACTTCCGGGGTGGGCGCTGACCCCACCCCCCCCGTGCATCATCTGGCGCGCGGAGCGCGCCAAGGGAGGCGCTGTATAGGGAGCCCATAAAAGACGTACGCGCCCAACTATGTGCATGAATACGGCCCCTTGACCCGCGAGACGGGCCGCGTGATACGAACATTCACGCAGTGCGAACTCTCGAAGCCAGCGTGGATTAATGTTTTTTTTTCTTTCAGAATGCACGTTGCTTGGACTTTCCGGTCGGTCGGCCCCCCGGCCGGCGACCGCGTAGATTGGACTGACACAGAGAAGCGAGCTTAGAGCATGGAGGTGGGGGAGCGCCTGGGAGGCTGGTGCGTCACTCCCCTGCCCTCCACGGATCTCGGCTCCCGGGTGGAGAGACCCCGCCCCGTGGGTCCTGACTGAAGCCAGCGTGGATTCATGTACGTGAACGTCCTTCTTTCGCTCCTGGCTGTAGGCGCCGCCACGGGCTGGGGCCGGGCGCCGACGGGGGCAGTCCGCGCCCGGGCCTCCGTGAGCTCGTGCTCACGCCGCGGCGTTCCCAGACATGCGACGCCTTGTTTTGGGGCGCGTGCTAATACTATATATTAGGGAGAAAACGAACCTACCTCGCTTTTGACCAACCTCGCTTCCAAGAGATACCAAGCGATGCCAAACTGCGGCCTGTACTGGTCAGGCCGCTTGACGAGGAGGCGCGTGGTATGGCTTGGTTTTGCCTGGAAGCGAAAGCGGGGTAGGTACTTCACGCTCTGATTTGCGACATGCGATGCTTTCTTTTTGTGCAGTGCGGGTTCCCTGGGGGTCCCGACCCTCTCCTGGAAGAAGACGCCACGGCAGAAGCACAAACTTTTGGCGCTCCGCGCGGATTCCTGGGATCTGCGCTGGGCCCTCGCGCGACATGGGCGGCGCCGGAGGCGCCACCCGGGGGTGCCCGCGCGGATCGAAGAGATCCGCGCGGAGCGCCAACGGTTCATGTTTGTGGCGCTTTGTCTTCTTCGATTCTGTTCATTGTGGGTCCCGACCCTCTCCCCAGGGCTGGGCTTCCATCCCGCAGAGACCCAAAAGGGCTGACAAAAGCCCCCCGTCGGGTCCGTCCCTCGGGGCGCGAGCGCGTCTGGGCCCGCTCCTCGCGCCTCCTCCAGCTGCCGGCCGCTGTTCATCACGACGTTGCCGCCCATCTCCACGCGCTCGCCCAGGGGGCGCCCCGACAGCAGGAGCAGATCGGCGCCCTCCGGGCCCGCCTCCAGCGCGAGGCCTCCGTTGGCGCGGCTGACCGTGGCCGTGTGGTGCACGGGCACGTCGCCGCCGTTCACCGCGCCCTCGCCGCGCCGCATGTACGCCAGGCAGGTCCAGCCCTGGGGCCTCGCGTCGTCGTCGCCGTCAGCGTCGTCGCCGCCGCCGCCGCCGTCGTCGCCGTCGCCGTTGTCGCTGTCGCCGCCGCCGCCGTCGTCGTCGTCGCCGTCGCCGCCGTCGTCGTCGCCGCCGTCGCCGTCGTCGTCGCCGCCGTCGCCGCCGTCGTCGCCGCCAGGGCGGGGGGGACGAACAGGCCGGACAGCAAAGGGTAGGGCAGAGAATCGGCTCACGTGGCCGTTTTCCTGGAGCCTCCACGCGCGGGGAGGCGCCCATGGTATCGAGGTGGTGGGCCTGGCGGCGGGGTCGAAGCGAGCTGCGCGCAGCAGATGTCGCACCCCCTCCCCCTCCTCCTCCTCCGCCTCCTCCTCCTCCTCCTCCTGCTCCTCCTCCTCCGCCTCCTCCTCCTCCTCCTCCGCCTCCTCCTCCTCCTCCTCCTCCTCCACCTCCTCCTCCTCCTCCTCCCCCTTCTCCTGTCCTGCCCCCTCCGCGCGGCCCGAGCGGTGGGTCTGCTCTTCTGGTGGGGGCTGCTGGCCCAGGGTGGTGCTCTGCTGCTCGAGGCGCTGACCGCGCCCAGCAAAAAACGCTATACCATATAAGGAACCGAACTCTATGCACCGACACTTTTTCCGGCCCCGCACTGGACCTCGCACAGGAGAGCGGATTCTGGTGTATACGGGACCCTGGTGTATACATGTTTCGTCGTTTCCCCTGGGAAACGGGGAAAAGAATATACACCACACCGCTCCGACGTCGTCTCCGACCCTCAAAATTTTCCTGGATTGAAAAACAGCCCGCCACTGGTAATGTATATGTTCCAGTTTCCGACATAGGTCCGCCGCCCCTGGCCTCTAGCGGTAGCAGAGAGAGAGGACCCAGGATGGGGGGCCACATGCGAACCCTACCCCATACCCCCACGATTTCTGAGGGTTAGGGCGGGGTTCGCTCCGTTGGGGAGCTCCCGAGCGAAGCGAACCCCACCCTCCCCCTCAAAGCCGTGGGGGGCAGGGGTATCGGGTCGGGCGAAAGGGGGGGATAGCAAAGGGGGGGTTTGAGAATCAGCTCACGTAGCTGATTTTCCCGGCGCCTCCCGGCGCCGGGAGGCGCCCATGTATCGAGGAATGGGCCCCTCGGTGAGGCCGAAATCAGCTGCATGCAGCAAATTTCGTAACCCCCCCTTTCCCAATCCCTCCCTTTCGCCCGGCCCGAGGGTAGGGTTCGCATGTGCACGGCCCCCTACAGGAGCCTCGGCCACGACCAGCTGGCCCCCGGCTCCAGCGTCACGTGCAGGATCGCCAGCTCGGAGTGCGTCTCCACGGGGCTGCGCACCCCGCAGGCCTCCCCGGCCACCACGCGCACCGTCACGCCGGGCCCGGGCTGGGCCTTCGGCACGGGCCCCAGCTCGTCCACCCGCACGCCGCCGCCGACGCCGGGCGCCTCGCCCTCGGCATCCTTCTGCTCCTCGCGGACGACGACGACGCCGACGACGACGACGACGAGGAGAACGACTGCGACCACGGCCACGGCTGCGAGCGCGCCCGCGACCACGACCGCGACGACCAGTATACGACGGCGGCGCGAAGACTCCTGCTCCGAGGGCTCCCGGAGCATCTGCATGCGGGGGGGCACCATCTTCGCGCTGGCCGGGAGGTTGACCCAAATCTGGAACAGCTCCTGGTCGGTGCTGTCCCATGCGCCGCCCGTGCGCCACATCTCCTCGTGCCGGAGTCCACGGCCGGCAGTCATCCACTGCACGGCCGCGTGGTCGCCGGACCCGTCCGAGTCGGGTGGTGCACCGTATGACTTCTTGATGCCGAAGGAGTCGCGATGCACAAGGCCACCGCGAAGCACATAGGTCACGGTCTCAAAGCCTCTGTGAGGATGGGCGGGGAAACCTTCGGGCATAAGTACAGACCTGAACAAATCTGCCACTGTGCCTTGTGCACGTCGGGGCGTGTTAAGGAGGAGGAGGAGGAGGAGGAGGAGGAGGAGGAGGAGGAGGAGGAGGATGCTGCTCTGCTGTCTGATAAGGCTTCTCTTGTGCTTGTTTCCAACCATCCTTCGGTGCTGGGCCCTCGTCTTGAAAAGACAGCGCCCCGCGTTCTCCTCCTCTTCTCCTCCTCTTCTCCCTTCTCCCTCCTCCCTCCTCCCTCCATCATCACCATCATCATCATCATCATCATCATCATCATCATCATCATCATCATCATCATCATCATCATCATCATCATCATCATCATCATCATCGTCGTCATCATCATCATCATCATCATCATCAGTATCATCAGCAGCAGCATAATCAGCATCAGCATCATCATCATCATCATCAGCATCGCGATGGTCATCACCATCATCGCCATCATCATCGCCGTCACCATCACCATCATCGTCATCATAATATTTGACATCATCACTGTCATCGCCACGCATGTGGGCACAACCCTCAAACGATTCGTGGCCCCAGAGATAGACCCACCGAAGGGCTCAGTGGCACCGTTCGCATGCGTCCCCCCATCCATTTCGACACACCCCTCACACGGTTCGTGGCCCCAGAGGGAGCTACCCCGAAGGGCTCAGTGGCACCGTTCGCGTGCGCTCTCCCCCACACATTTCGGCATACCCTTTACACGATTCGTGGCCCCATACGGACCTCCACCGAAGGGCCCAGTGGCACCGTTCGCATGCGTCCCCCCACCAATTTCGACACACCCCTCACACGATTCGCGGACACGTAGGGAACTCCACCTAAGTTCAAAGTGGCACCGTTCGCACGCGTCCCCCCACCAGTGTCGACACACCCCTCACACGATTCGTGGACACGTAGGGAACTCCACCTCAGGTCAACGTGGCACCGTTCGCACGCATCCCCCCACCAGTTTCGACACACCCCTCACACGATTCGTGGCCACGTACGCACCTCCACATAAGGTCAAAGTGGCACCGTTCGCATGCGTCCCCTCACCAGTGTCGACACACCCCTCACACGGTTCGTGGCCACGTACGCAACTCCACATAAAGTCAACGTGGCACCGTTCGCATGCGTCCCCTCACCAGTGTCGACACACCCCTCACACGGTTCGTGGCCACGTGCGCAACTCCACATAAGGTCAACGTGGCACCGTTCGCATGCGTTCCCCCGCTCATTTTGGCACACCCTTGGCGCGATTCGTGGCCCCAGAAGGGAGCCCCACCCGTCCCCCCCACCAATTGCAGCACACCCCTCACACGATCCGTGGCCACGTGGGTAGCTCCACCGAAGGTCCCAGTGGCACCGTTCGCATGCGTTCCCTGCACCAATTTCAGCACACCCCTCACACGATTCGTGGCCCCAGAATGGCTCAGTGGCACCGTTCGCATGCGTCCCCCCACCCAGGTCGGCTCACCCCTCATACGATTCGTGGCCCCAGAGGGAGCTCCACCGAAAGGCCCAGTGGCACCGTTCGCATGCGTCCCCCCCGCCCATTTCGGCACACCTCTCACACTCTTCGTGCCCCAAGAGGAGCACCACCTAAGGTCCCAATGGCACCGTTCGCATACGCCCCACCCGCTCATTTCGGCATAACCCTCGGACGATTCGAGGAGGAATCGGAGCCGAACAGCGACGCGCTTCGCGCGCTCGAGGGCGCCCTTGCTTTTCGGGCCTCGGGCAGAACATGACGGCTCCAGAGGCCCCCAAGAAAGCGAGGCAGCGAGGCCGCTTTTATGACCCGTTCGCCTTCAGACCGCTCGCTGAATTGCAGCACATCTTTTCGGCGGCGAGCGAGGGGGGAAGGGATGAGCGTTGCAAAACAAAGATCGGCGCCTGCGGCGGGCTTCCAGTAACCCGTCTGGGGGGCCCGCGGCGTCGTGGGGGCCCGTCGCCGCGAAGCCCACGGGTGGCGCCGGTCTTGGGCTTGGTGGCGCCTGCGGCGGCCTTACTCATTGAATGCTTCGTTCAACGTGCCTCATCCGTTCCGGGGGGGGCCCGCGGCGTCGTGGAGGCCCATTGGTGGCCCCAAGCTTGGCTGCGCAGAAACGGATGCTTCAAAACTGAAAGATCAACGCCTGCGGCAGGCTTCTTCTTTGAATGCTTCGTTTAATTGTTTCCAGTCAGGCCCCGGACTGGGGAATTCGCGCGAGGATCGTCGTAGCCGCCCTGGCTTGGGCGCCAATTCGGCGCTTGGGATTCGTTCCCCCTTGTCCGTTCCTCTCCCCTGGGGGCGCCGCCGATCTTTCACTCGACCTCCTTCACGATACGCTGCTGCGCTGGCATGGCGGCGGCGTCTGCCGCAGGCAGCTGGATACCGGAGCGGGTCCAACACGTTGAACGAGTGCCGGTGATGGACCACCAGCAGGTACGGGTCGGCCTCTGCGGGGTCTGAATAAGTCATTGGGCACACGCGTCCACCGAGCCAGTCCTCCAGCCGGGCCCCTAACTTGGGATCGCCCGTAACGAAGTCAAGCAAGATGTAGAATATGCCAAACCATGCCGGCCACACCGGCAACCGGAGATGCTTCACCACCTCGACGTCCCCGAGCCTCGCCTGCCTCCGTGCGACCCGCCTGCAGGAGGGCGCCAGCTGATGTTGCACCCGCACCGATCTTGGTACGGCCCCCCCTGGACCTGCAGCAAGCGCCTTCCGCCCCTGGCCAGGAAAGGGTCCATGATCCCGGCCCCAGTAGAGGCCTCCTAGATGGGGTCCGAGTAAGACGGGGTCGGAGGATCTCGCCGCATCGCCAATGCATCGGCGATGCATCACTGTCGCATCAGCGATGCATCGGCGACGTCGGCGATGCATCAGCGACCCCAGCATGGAGAGAATCGGGCTCCATATCGAGCCGCATCGCCGATGCATCGCCGATTTGACGCCATCCTCCGACCCCATCTCCTCGGACCCCACCTAGAAGGCCTAGACCCAGGAGATTGGGCCGGCCAGGATCGGTGCATGTTAATTCACCCAACTTCGCGCATCGCGTTCCGCAATCCGTGGCTATCTCCTCTGCGCCCTTGCGAGGCCGCCCCGGAGAAGGGCATCCCCCCAACCTGGCTCCTGGGGGGCGGCGATACGTCGCCGTTGGATCGGCGCCAGGGCCCCGACAGTAAATACGCGCGGTCCTGGGCGGGATGGGATATCGGGCCCCTGTCGGCGATCACTGGGCGATCGTGGGTCAATGCGTCCCCGCCAGACCCCTGACGCCAGAACTTTCTCACAGCGTCGACTCCCAAGCCTCGACCCCTTCCCCGCACCAATGTTCCTCCTGATTCGTTTTTTTCATCCGGTCCCGAGGCCCGGTACAGTCAACCCGCGTAGTAAAGATGCGTGATAAGAATGCAAGGGCCTTGGGTGCCCATTTCGAAGCCTCTCGAGCGGGGCGCGGCCAACGGCAGCGGCCAGGGATGGGCCGAGGAGGCTAGGATGCAAGGATGCCCTTGGGTAGGTTGCCCACCCTTGCTTCGCGGGTTGAGTGTAAAGGCCCCCGGAATCCAAAACGAGCGAAAAACCTTGCGCCCAGACCCTCTCACGCCCCGAGATGGGGGAGGATGGGGGAGGAACCAGCGGAGGAGGAGGAGGAGAGGGAGGAGGAGGAGGTGGAGAAGAGGG